AAAGGGGAAGTGTGTTGAGGGGGGGGAAAAGGGAGTTCCGGACAAAGTGACTGAATGACTGACTGACTGGTTGGCTGACTGACTGAACGATGTTCAGCAAATTGAAATGAAATGCTTACGGGTTGAGGCCTTCCCGCATCTCTTTTCAGACCAAATAAGACCAAACCAAAGCGAACCGAACCGAAGTGGGAAAGGCAGGAGGTTTTTGCACAAATTACGAGAAAATGTCACCGCCTCTGGTACTTGGTCCTTGGTCCTTGTCCAGCGACTGACTTGCCCCTACTCGACCCCTTCTTGACCCCTTTCCAACCCCCATTATCTACCCCCTTTTCCACCCCTTCCCACTCATTGTTGCGCCATTTTGCTGGTCTATTATTCAAAATTGACAGTTGAATGAGTAAAATGGCCGTCTGCCTCAATCTGAATTGCTCTTTTCTGGCGTTTCATTTAACTGTCCGTCTCGCAGAAGCTGGCTAGTGTGGATGTACATGTATTTGGCCAAGTATCTGTTTGTGCTGGCTAAATCTGGCTGCAAAACCCCTTTTCAATTTAATGGCATAGAGGCTGTAATACGATTTGCAGCAGGTCACTTTTTATTCCTACTCCGTTTGTCAATTAGCAGTCAAAATATTGGTTTGATTTCGGGTTTGGGTTTAAAAAACACAAAGTTAGACCAGGGCATTAAAACACTGACAAAAAAATTATATGATAAGTATAACAAACCAGTTGAATTGATTAAAAAACTAACTAATCAACAACTATAGTTATACAAGAGGCCTTGAAATAGCTTTAAAAAATATACGATCCATATCAAGAACCCGTTTACCAAAAATAAACCACAGATCTTCAAAATTTTCTATAATAAGTTTGCTGCAATTTGTTTCCAGTTTATTTGATGATATAGATTTCTTGACTTAACTGATTGTCTGAAATTAATTATTCAGGTGCAAAAACATGTCCCATAAAACTTAAACGAATTTTAATTACTTCTTAGCAAAATTGTAAAGTGAAATGTTTATAACATACTTTTGGGCTTTAAAGGTTGTCAAGAGCTTCTTTCTCGTTCCCTTAACCAAACTAGCAAATGTATCTTTTCACACGTGCCAGAAAAAAAGAGGTCGAGAAAAAGGACATCGTTTGGTCAGGACACTTAGCACTCAAGCACATACACACACATCTACGTACATAGGCGAAAGGAGAAAGGGCAGGAAAAGTGGGCAGTTCAAAACAAAATATTTATTGTGGCCGTTGACAAGCTGGGCTTTTCCTCTGTATGAGTATGTGTGGAACTGTGGACATTTTAACGTCTGTTTACCTATCGATTATTTCAGGTAAATTAAGTAGCTTGGGAGCTGCCGAGGACCTCCACTTCCACGTCCACGTCCCCATCCACGTCCATGTCGACATCGACGTCCTTTCCGTCGAGGGCAGCCTGCCAAATGCATTAAAGGATCAGACATGCTCACACACTCACACACTCACACTCGCTCGCACACATACCGACATAGGTACGCATACCTGTACGCCCGTCCAGGCACTTACTTATACAAACAAAGATCCACCTTGCACACACACACATAAACACACTCGCACACACATGTGGTCATTATTTTGACAATTACACACGTGGCGCCATTTGGCCAGAGTCCTGTTGGAACCCCTCCTAAATTCGGTGTTCGGCTGTGTGAGTGAGTGGGGGTCTTTGTTTTAGTGCCAGCCGAACGTTCCTATATGGATTTTCCATTAACGATTTGAATATGTAAATGATGGAGAGAGTGACAACATTGGTTGTAAATTTACCGAAAATTGGGAATAATATCCACTTGAGTTAGTTTGATCTTTATCATAAAAAACATTCTTGCTAACATTAATTAAGATTCCTTATAAATAGAAACATGTAACAAAATATAAACCATATATTTTTTTTTTGATATATATTTAATACATGTTGTTTAAAACACAAAATAATTCTCATCAGTTGGCAACTTTTAAATAGTTTAAATATCTTTTTTTTCAGATTGATATATTGTATTTCTTTGATAAACTCTATGTTAAAATTATTTTAAATTGTAAGGTAATTTTTTTTTACCTGTAATAAGTTAACACCTATAGTTATTTTATCCTGAAGTTTTTTGCAAGCCTACATTAGGATCAACATTTCCACCTTCTTTTTGTTTTTGCAAAACATCATTTGTGTGCTTTATTTAAATCTGTGCACTTGACTCGTTTATTTTTGCTTAAATTTCGAACCACTGTGCAGGGTAACATCCACTGGCTGGATTTACTCAGCCCACTCGCCCCTGCTGATCCAATTCCCCTGCAATCTTAGTGTGTTTGCTTGTGCGTGGAACGCTTCATTTAATACGTTAACAATGAGATTGTCCTCAATAATTGAATCCACTAATTGACTGATGATTACATTTTGTGTTGGCCATACACCAATAGTCCGCCAGTGACCCATGGACCCCTCTTGCGACCCCCTCCCCCAAACCATTTCCACCCTTTCCCAAAAACCATGCGCTGAAAGTATGTCATCGATCGATCGGGTAGCAAGCGGTTGACTTTCTCAAGCTGTATTATTCAAAAGGGCGCACAAACAGTAACTGTACTTGGGTATATGTGTATGTGAGCTACGAAGAAAGGCGCACACACACACACGCGCACACATACATACGCAAATACGAAAAGAAATGCACACATACATGGACACAGAGAACAGGAAAACGGGCAAAACTCAAAGCTACATGGATGACACAGGGGATTGTGGGTGTGTGGGTGTGTAGGTGGTTGTGGGTGTATTTAGGTGGGTGTGAGTGGGTGGTGTTGGGTGTTCGGGGAGGTACTTACCCCGTCCAAGGTCTTGATGTTGTGCAACGCATCCTGGGCGCGCAGGGCGGCCTTTCTTGTATAGTAGGTGACAAAACAGCACCCTGCAAACGAAAATGAAACAATCGAATACAAATCGAATACAAATCAAACAAATCGATAGACAGTAGCACAGAACATATGATACAGAACGAACATTATTTATATATACTGTACTATATATATAAACTTATCGGATGCATTAGGTATTATTTACTGGGGACCAATACAAGTTCACGCTCTTACTTTTGGTAATTTGAGGTTTTTTCATGCTTCTGGAGCAGGTTGATCAAGACTTAAAGCTACGTATATATATATCTATATTGGCATGCAGATTTTTGGACACGGGACGAGCGCTTCATGCAAGCCATGCGGAGCAAATGGGACGTGGACAAAAAATTATGGGGACTACGGACTGATTGTGATAGAGGTTGAAATTTATAATTGAATAATACCCATTATAATATATATTATATTCCAGAAGCAATTCAATGGTCAATTTGAAAACAAGTGAACTGTTTAAAACTAGTTGAGATTTTTTTGAAATAATATTCTTATTGCTTGGTATACTTAATTTCGATTTTATATTTTCAAAAGGTATTTGTGGCTCTTTTAGAATTATTTAAATAAACCTATAACTCGCCATCAAAAACATTATTGTGTACTATAAGGTTTTTATTTTTTTAACTTGTAAATTTTTTTGATTTCTATTAGAATATGACTCAAAAAGTGGATACCTTCCTTTTTATTATAACGTATGTTTTGATATATATAACTTGAACTGTTGTTTATCGTAATAGGATTTAGTATTTTATTTGTTTTCTCTTTATACCTCTACGTTTCCCTATACTTATCCCCAAAACTTGAATTTATTTTTATCGCATTACTTACGGAACTTCCTATGTACACAACCCGTCGCCAGTGACCCATCTAAACTATCCACCGCTCCATTACGGAGATTAAATTATAATCCTCCTCCGAGTCGCAGCCACATGAGCCGCACTCCTCCCTTGGCTATCATCGAGTTAGCCGTGCTCGAACACCTTGCTCCGAGGATTAATCCACCCATACGCACACATTCGGCCAGGATGAACCCCTCTAGACCATAAATATGCATAATGGAATTTACCTTTTCGCTTTCGAGAAAAGTTCGCAAGCAAATGCGCATATTATTCTAATACAGCCGAAAATTAACCAGGGCAACACGCTCATGTCCTGCATCCTGAAAGTGAGTGAGTGTGTGGAAGTTTTTCTCGTTTACACACGCACAATTATGGCCAATTACCCCGGCTAAAACTTTGGCCAACACGGGGCATTCATGCCCTCAACACCTGTGCCTCGAGCAGTTTTAATGTCGATGGGTTCGCCATCAGCATAATCATATTACTTTATGTTCCGGATCAGAACAGCCTGCGACCCGCAATTGATGGGCATTGTAAAATTTGATCGAGCCCCCCGGTTAATCCGCCCATTTGTATGCCCTTCGGATAGGGTTGCCAGGCTTTCTTGAGGGACTCACCGCGGCTAATCGATGTGACCTTGTCCCGGAGCACATTCAGTGTGTGCACTGGCCCGAACTGCTCGAACATTTGGCGGAGCCTCGCCTCGTCCCAGGTCTTCGGTATCTGGCCCACGAACATCTTGATGTTGTCCGCATCCGGCTGATCCTTCAGCGAATCCGGGTTGCCCACCTCCATGAGCTCCAGCTTCACGTTTCCCTCTCCCGAAGGACTTTGGTTGCTGCAAGATTACAGAATTTAAAAGAATTATAATATGAGGTATAACCATGATATATTTATAATACTAAAACAATAAACAGTTATTCAATATGAAGTTTAAAATATTTTTAAAATTCATTTGATAATGTTATAGTTGGAGAAATAATATTGTTTGGAATTATCTGCATTGGAAATAAGGTGTAGTGTTTATAGATTGATCTTAAAAAATGCCATTTGTTTATAGAAGAAGGATTTCCTTTCAAACCCCTGAACACAAGCAAACACCATTATCTTTTGGACAACATTATATGAACTATACCTAAGTTTTTTAACCTTTAAATGAATAATAACAAAGTCATTTATTGTGATTAATAATTATTAAATACATATTTTTAAAAATAAAACCACTTGGCAAGGTTATTTGTACTGCTTTTAACCTTTATTATTCTTTAATTTTTTAACGAACATTTTTAAATAACTTTTACTTTTTGTTCCTCCGACTTGCGCTTTTCCTCGCTGGATCTCTTCGACTCTGTTTGGGGTTCAGGTGGAGGTGGTTCATTGGCGGTCTCCACCGCCTTTGGAGGTTCTTCCGGCGGAGGAGTAGGTGGTGGTGGTGGTTCCGCTGCCACGGCTTCTTCGGGAGGAGGAGAAGTTGCTGCTGGTGTGGGTGCTTTTTCTTCAACTGGAGGTGGAGGTGCTGCATCAGCTGGAGCAGCTTCTGCATGTGCCTCCTCAGCCTTTTCTTCCTCTGAATTAGGAGGTGGAATCACATTGAAAGCGGGCGTAATGAAGCACAGATTGTTGTTGGCCTTTTCCTTTCCCGGAAAACTGGGTTGTGTGCCTCGAGAACCCAATGAATGGGCGGCACACGAGTTTGCAGCGGAGATGTGATGCTCTGTGGTCAGTTTGGGAAACTTCGCAATGTGGTAGGCCAAACTGCCCATAAAGGCATCACCCGCTCCCGAGGAATCGGCCAAGTGGGGAACATCGGCAGCTGGGATGTGGGTGCACATATCGCTGTTCTTCTGGGACATGTAAACCGCTCCCTGATCGCCCATCGTGATGATCACACTTTTAGCTCCTCGTTCGATCAGAGTCACTGCTGCCTGGCGAGCCTGCTCCAAAGTTTTCACCTCCTCCATTTCGCTCAGCTGAGCAGCTGCCTCCTGGTTCGCCACCAGGATGCTGGGCAGTCCGATCATCCCGTCGGGAATGTCCTTTCGCATGGGCGACATCTGCAGGATGGACACTCCTCCCTTGAACTGGCGAAGCGCACACATGGTGGCGTTCATGTCCGCCTCCAGTTGGCAGAGCAGCACCCTCGCTCCCTGGAAGGACTTCTTGGCCCGGCTCACGTCCTTGGCCGTGAGGAAGGTATTGGCCCCCGCCACGTTGATCCTGTACTGCTCTCCCTCCTCGGAAACCGCGATCTCGCTCATCCCCGTGGGATTGTCCTTCACCTGCTGCACATTCTTCACGTCCACCTCGTGTTTCTCCAGGTGACTCAGGTAGTCGTCGCCGGACTCGTCCTTTCCCAGCTTGGCAACCAGTGCAGTGGAGGCGCCCAGCTTTGCAGCTGCCACACACTGGTTGGCCGCCTTGCCGCCGAAACAGGTTTCCATGTAAGTTCCGGCCACCGATTCCCCCGGTTTCGGCAATTCCGGGACATAACTGCGGTGTTTACTAGACTGATTACGGATTTTGGTCCTTTATAAGATGCTTACGTTATGTATTCGATGTTTGCGGACCCAAACACCACCACATCCAGCGACTTTCCCATCTAAACGGCGGACTTAAGCCCAAAACTATTGGAAAACGTTCTACAGAAAATTTTGTTATGAAAAATATCTACATTTCTGACATTTATCGATGGGGACTGAGAATGTGTAATTTGTATTTACTTTACCGCAGTAAATAAAAAAGCTGTCCCACTAGTTAGGGCAACTATAGCGTATATATATGCTAAAACATTTTGGGATAATAATTTGTGTGAACCTTTTTATTACTATTTAGAGTTCGGGCTTAGTTGCACTCAAAGAATTTGGTTGACTTGTATCCTAAAGTCTTTTAAGTTGTAAACAATTGGCTTTAGTTGTAAACAAGCGGTTTAAGAATCACTCAAGTGTATAATTAAAAAAAATATAATTAATACCCCTTGAATTCTTAGGATGGGTAAATCAAATATTGCAAATCATGCATAATATTTTTGATTACTTGTATGCTGTTCAACATTTTACGCAAATGTATTCCAAATATAGGAATATTTTAAAATACAGTATATATAAAAACTTAATGCTGCAATGAACTGAGCTAAATCTATTAATTTTTTAGGAGGGACCGGAAAAAGAACTGAATTTGTTGAATTTTGCAATTTTAAAATTTCCCCCGCTCGCAAATAAAGTACTTGCTAATCGGAAAGTCCACAACTTTTTCATTGAACTTCCATGGACAACGTATTGTGGCGTTATCCCTCCAGGATCGAGGTCCTCTGGCTGCTAACTTCATTTGCTAATGACCATAAAAAAGAGAGAGGGAGATAACAACAAGCCGGCTTGCCTTTGCTGGCCATTCCTGTCCGATACCGAGTTGGCTAACAGCATAAAATACAAATACTAATTGTTATTAGCAAACTAATCTAATCTAAAAAGTTGTAAACGTTGTTACTTTTGTTTTGTGGTTGACCAGTCTCCGACTCTGAATTCGAGGAGTGGGGCTTTCCAGGGGAACAGTTGGGGATGTGGCTCTTTGAGTGACTGGCAACGCATTGAACGCTCCACTTTGGGGTCACTTTCAGTTGGTTTTGTGTGCTGCCGAAAAAGTTTTCCCTTTTTCCGCAGTCTTGTTGTTGTTGCTTCTAATGGGGGTTTATTGGGTGCTCTTGATGGTGTACGAAATTGACTTTTGGTTGGCTGTCAATTTGCTCGGGGGTCTCGGTTACGGAGCCGATTTGCCGTAAGCACAAGTTGTCAAGCAGTTGGCCCAATAAATTTCAGCACTTAATTGGCTAAGCCAGTCAGTTGAACGGCGGACTGACAGAGGAATGTTGAGATACATTTCTTGGATGTTAAATAGAATATTACCACATTTTACAAGGTTAATTTTTGATATAAGAATTAGTGAGATGTTTCTTAAATTTGATAGACTTGAAAAGCATTAAGATTGAAGAAAATTCAGCAAGAGAAATTAAGCGATAACATTATTTTATAAAAACAAATGGATTGGATTCTATTAATTATAATTATAATATATTTTTCAAATAATTAATTAAATTTGCAAGTACAGCAGTTCGATTTGAAAAATAGCTTTGCAAATTTCGGTGTATAAAAGCAACTTGTTGCTAAAAAGAATGATAACTATTTACCACTTCAGTATACGTTATATATAATATTTATTTAATGTAAAGGTACAACTTTTGCACATTATCCTCCTCGTTCGTGTTTGAGACAAATCAGAATATTTTATGCATTACATTTTCAGCGACACATACTTTCAGGCTGACAATTGAAATTTCCATACATCTTGGCAGGGAAAGTGACAAACTTCTCCCCTGTTTCGGTACATTATTAACTCGAGCTATCGCACGAAGTCATCTGAAACGATGCCATTTAGGAAATTACTTCCAATTTACTTTTAAATTTCTTCATCTTCCAATTTCCTGCGTAAGTAATTCCAGCGCTTGCAGCCGCCATTCATCCATCTACCCAACCCCGCTTAGCCAGTTATGAACAGCCTCCCTTGGCTAGATGAAAACCCAGCGCGGCTCTCCAGTGAAAAGCCGTGAAAAGCGAGCGAACCAGCAGCCGCGGGCCATCGAATGACAAAACGAAATTAATCTATTAGAGCCGGAACGAGGACGAGCCAAATTGTCTATGTCAAGGTGATAAATTCTGGCCTCAAGCCTGCAGGGGAATAAGCCAAATACGAGGGGGGCGCCAACGTAATCCATCGCGATTCTTGGTCCTGCAGCATAAATCTCTAAACGGGAGCCATTTACGCATCAGCCAATTTCTCGAGTGTGTTAGCGTAAATCCGAAAAAAATAAATTCTAAATATAAAAGTAAATAAAAATAGAAGGAAGGGGAATTGGAACGGGGATTGGGGATTGGGGCTTGGGGAAAAGAGAGCAGCGACAGGTGTGTTGCCCCTGGAGTCGAGCAGGCAATTATTTCAGGAAGGCGCGAATCCTTCGGGGAGTTTAGGAGAATGCTCCCCAAGTGCTGGGCTCCCAGCCAACTATCGCTGATTCCCCCACAGCTCCCCTCCTCTCTGGAAGGAAGTTCCCAGCTCCTCGGCGGTCTCTTGGGGCTGCGCCTGTGCATTAATAATTCAGTTTCATTTAAATGCGACCAGGCTTAATGAGAAAATCGCCTGCGGTGGGAGCTGAAGCGCGTCAGAAAGTGAGATGGCGGGATGTCGAGGTGGCAAGGTGGCAAGGTAGGAGTGGCAGGGAATCGGGGAAACGGGGATTTGGACCCGGACAGCAGGTGTTTTCCGGCCCACCGCCAATGAGCTTGACGATGATGCTGGTGACGACGTTGGCATCGCGAATCAACAGCTGGGAGTATAAAGTGTCTCAGCGTTTCAGTACAGTGAGTCGACAAGTTTGCGAGTAAGTCTTTAATTAGGAGTACGAGTTTGTATTAATTTCTTTTTCCCAGTTTTTCCAATTGGGGTTCCCGTGTAGCTGGCCAATAAACCTTTTTATTACACAGTGACACCAATGTTTAAACTCTTGTTGAGCGGAAATCAACATGCAATGAACCGTATTCTTTATGATGAGCCTATGGTACATATAGAAATATATAAGGGCTAAAGTTGTATAATTTAATCTATTGTTAAGTATTATTTACTTGAACATCTTTTTATAATCAGAGAATCTTTTCCAGCAATAAGCGTTAAAAAAATTTATTGACTTATGATAAGCTTTTTTTTTTTTTGGCGTTTACCCAAAAAATCTTATAAATATTTAGGCAGCAATCAACAAAAAAAATCATAAACTGAATTTAAGTAAGTAGTTTACTTTTACTAATACTTTTACAATATTCCGCCTAAAGCATTCCGTACAAAGAAACCCCTCAAATATGATTTCCAAACAAGCATTCAGTGGCCCATTTAAGACTTTTAAGAACTGGTTTTATTTTAACAACTCCATTTAATAACTTTATTCTTGACCACTGTGCACCGTGGCGACATGGTCATGACGTGGCACTTAATTTATGATGGCAGTTTGTTATGCCGCGCCTGTCACAACAAAAGCAAACAGCTCAGAGATAGAGGAAGCGAAAAATATATATATTTACAAGAAGTGGCGGATGGATAGAGCTACAGTCTCCCACTGCGTTGAACCCAGTTCGCATAAAAATGACCCAACATAAATTTAATAATTCCTGCTTTATTATTTAATGGCCGAGCAGGACAACAGGAAAAGCCGGGTGGATGGGTATTTGAGTTCAGGAAAGAAGAGTCGAGTTACCAACGATTTCTGGCCATCCCCTTGAGTTTATCGCCTTTGTGATCATTACGAAGACGCTTTAATATTATAATTACAATGTCCTGTCAATAATCATTCGCCATTATCGCTGATGACTTGGGCTATGTGAAAATTGTCGCCTTGATGGCTCCTGCCAATTAATAACATTAATGCAATGGCAATTATCATTAGCTACTTGATGGCAGCCGCGACCTTTCACCCACCTGCCACCCAATAAACCACCCACCAACCACCCCCTTTGGCCAATGCATATTGTCACTTATTTTAATTAAATCAGCCTGCGAAGTGGGCCGCCGAAGGATCCAACATTCGGTGGGAATTTTTTTATAATTTCCGGGCGAAGGAAGCGCACAAATAGAAAATGTGGCGCACGTCCGAGAAATAACCATTTGAAATGTGATAGCCAAAGTTGTTTGGGGGTGGCAGGTGCCGTCCTGGGAAGCTATAGGAAATTGAAATGTTCCATAACGGCAAGGTAATATGCAAAGTGATAAGCAGCGAAGATGAGGAGGCAAAGCTGTTGAAGTTATGTTGAGGGAAGGTTCCATTTTATATGGAGGATATTTAGAACTGCTTTACGCTTCCTAGGATGCCCTTACTTTAAATTATAGAAACGATTGTCAAAGGGTCTTTCTTTATTTAAATAAATTCTAAGTTTACTAAACTGCAAATTTGATAGTTAGTTAAGTTAGAATTTAAATGGCTTAGTAGAGAGTAGATCACAGATATAGATACAAATCTAAGCAAGTAAGCTGATCTAACCAAGAACTTGTTTTTAGAATATTCTATTTATACTTTTGTTTGGTTCTTTTTTTAAGCGTTTGAAATGTCCTTTTCCAGCAGATATCTACTTAAGCGTTAACTTCTTTAAAAGGAACTTCATGCCTATCAGAGGCGTTATTAGAGAGTTTGCCCATTAAACATAGCCTACTTCCCAGAGCAAACTAAAAACAGTATAAAAAACAGTTTCCATTTCGCGGATTTTCCCTGGAATTTTACCCGGCGCAGCCTCAAATCATTTGAGTGTAATTAGCAGTCATTAGCCAGCAATGATGCAAAAAACCGGATCCAAGAATTCGAATTCGAACAAGAGCGAAAGAGAGGGGAAAAGCGGGAAGGGGGGAGGCACACTCACCGATTTGGTCCGCTGCTGTTCGGTGGTGCAACAACGGGTGGTGCGGGGGCTACAACAACAATCGCACCACCCTGGTCGCCTAATGAAGTTCTGGAATTAATGCTGGAATTCAGCTGCGTTGACGGCGGTGCTGCTGCCGCTGCTGCAGTAGCAACTGCGGTTGCTGCGGTGCCTGGTGTTGCTGTTGCTGCTGCAGATATTGCTGCGATTGCTGTTGCTGTAGCTGCTGCTGCCGGCAGTGCTGTTGGGCTGGAATTTATT